TGGCTTGGGGATCTCCAGCACACTTCTGTATTTCATGGTGTAGGCATGCCTGTATTTGCAAAACACCAGCAGTAATTAATGATTAAGTAGAAAACAAAGGAATGCATGTAAGATCCTTTTTTAGAGTAATTAAAAGTCTATCCATTCTTAAAAACCCCTCCTTTCATTCTACTCTTTTCTCTATATATACTGATTTGCCTTAGCACCAATTAATTTATATGTTTCAACCTGCTCACCCATCCTCTTTTTTTCAGCTTAGAATAGCTTCTGGGAGGTGGTTCTTTATTTCTCACTGAACTTTTGCCAAACCAGTGGTTCTCTCACAGAGAGGAATGTCGAGTGCTTAGCAAAAATTAGTTTTAGTCAACAAGAGAGAATAAATAGCACACCACCACATGTACCAGAACAAAACCTGTCTTTGTGGCGTTAAGGTGGATTTTAACCATAGCTCCATTTAAAGCATCTGTATATTATATCTCTTTCTGTGTGTAAGGACAGGGAAGGCGACTCTCCCAGAGCCATATTTCCCACCAGGTTCTGTTGGAAAAGGTGCACACCATTTCACCTCTGCAAGGCTGTGTGTAGCTAATTGGAGAGAATGGTCTTGCCTGTATGTCCCTTGTTTTTGTGTGGTTATGACTGTTTGCAAAGCAGAAGTAAAGACAGTCTGGACTGAGTCTAAAATCCTAAGTCTTATCACTTCTGTGGTATTTCATCCAGATTTATCCAGCTGCTGTGACTAAAGTCTTGGTGAGTTTTTTTGGCATTTCATTCCTTTCACAAGGTCCAAAGTTTCAGCTGATGAACAAGCCAGAGGTCTGCAGACACCCATCTAAACTCAACAGAACTTAATCTGTTCTTAGTCTTCTGATCTTTCCTCTTTCAACCTCCTCACTCTATTTTTAAATATCCTCATAAATCCTTACTTCAACTTTTGTTCAGGAAGTAACTAACAATATTAATACAAACCATGTTAACAAGGCATCATTACTCAAGGTCAATCTATGAAACCATTCATTGATATTTCTAGCTATGAAAGATTTGTTCTCCTTTTTTTAATACCTTTTTTTGGACTGTACCCTTTCTTTCTTTTCCGATGTTTGTTTTTTCCCAGTTGACAAATATAGGGTTTCATTCTGTTTCTTACAAAACACGAACCAGCCTGGCTTTTCTCATTAACTTCCTTATTATCATAAGCAACATCACCTGTAACACTCATCACGTGAGCAGCATGGTGCTGGGAGCTGTGTATATTAGTCAACTCCTATTCCCTCTCAGAGCTAGATGGCAGGAAGGAAAAATATTGCAAGTTCATGCTTTCAGGGCAAGGTGTGTTTTGTTTGTTTCCTCAACCGTTTTGCAGGAGTGCAATAAAAGATAACTAAAGAACATCTCTTAAATGAAACTCTTAAGTGGCTGAAATCTGGAGAAGACTGACCTCTGGCTCATCTTGCACAAGGAAGTCAAACAACCATGAAGGACTGGAACTGTTTTCTTCTTGTTGGTAAGACTGGCTAGAGCCAAATCAAAAGGAGAGTTTTTAACTCTGTCTTGCATTTTATTACTCCACTGCAGGTTCTCTAGAAGCATACAATACATTGCTGTAATGGTAACCAGGAAAATACCTTGAGGTTTTAAAACAGGATGCGCAGTTCATGCTGGTTACTGAGTGATGAATGATACAAACTGCACTGAAAAACTATACAAATACATGATTTCAGCTAGCACAGCAAAATAGTTTAGATATAAATTAAAATAACTGCAGTCTTGTGGTCCTTGTTGGTTATTTACAAGCCTCTTGAAATATTTCCTTATCTGCCTGTCTCATAAGAAATTAGGCAATTACAATAAATAAGCCTGAAGCTGAAGAACATCAAATAGTGAATCATTATGGCATCATTACATGGGAACTGGTAGTAAGTGGAAGGCCAAAAGAAACTCACAGGTTTTCCAGCTTCAGGAAATCTATTTTAAATGAAATTGAAGTAAACACCTTAAGTTGAATGTAATTCTATGGAAAAGGCAGTTGCACAATGAAGAGGTATTTGCAGCCAGAAATTCAACTTCATCCTTTTCAGGATATTTCTAAACAGGAAAGAAATAATTACCATGTCATTGAACTAGTCACAAAACTTTGTATAGGGGAAACTTTGATTAGAAAGAAAGAGAAATGTCATCTGGAAATCCAGTGATTCAGAAGCTTCTGGAAGATGAGAAGAGGAAATGTTTCCTTTAGAAATTATTTGGTAACATCGATGTGTATGCATTCCTTATTCATTTTTACTATAAATCTGTAGTATATATATGCTCAATATTTTATTTATGTATATATAATATAGCACAGAAATATATTGATATGTGTAATGACTGCATCACAAGAAAGTATTTTGAGACAAGAATAGCTGGGTTTTGGGGATTGTGTTTGCGGGGTTTTTTTCCACTTGTGATATTGACTTGATTTTTTTTTTTCTTCTGAATCAGCGCAAGAACACTTTTCAAGATGCTTAATGTGTGGATTTTTTCAGGGTGAAAATTCAAGCTTTGTTAAAAAAGCTTTACATTCCTTGCAAACCCAATCAGGCATTCAAAACGCGTTCAGCTCCCCTGAACACCAAAAGGAGTGATCAGCAAGTTTCAGGCTTGGTCCTGATTTGACAATTTTAAGGTAACATTTTTTTGACATTGCCTACACCAACCTGGTAAGGTCTGCAGAGCATTGCTTCAAAAGCATAGACATCCAGCAAATGCAGATAAAATGAGCCACTGGTCCTCAGGAAAGGAGCTGTTGATGTCCTATTCTGCTTGTGCTCTATAAAAGATGAAACTGATACCCACACTTGCAAAAATTGCAGTCTGATCATGACAGGCAGGACTGATGGCTTTGATTGCTGAATGCTTCACACAGTCCCCTCCTCTGGCTGCACTGCTATTAATCAGAGCAATGGACCATTGTACTTTGGAAATTTTCTGTTCTTTTAAAAAAAAAAACCTAAAAACTGTCCGGTCTTCTTTTTAGTTCAAGTATTTCTTCTTTCTAATAAATTGTGTCAAAGCAGGGCAAATTGGGTGGAAAAGATAGCATTTGAACTGTCTCAGATTTGCTCAAACTTAGTGACTCTCTTAAGGACACCTCTGCATCATGTACTTAGTATTGGTAAGTCCTAAGAACATGATTATCTTTGAGCACGTATATGAGTACCAACCTGAAAAATGAGACTTGAGAATCTAATACCTTTTCCCGACCTTAAATGTTCTATGAGGCAATGAATGTCTAAATTTTCTTTTTGCGAAGGATGAGAATACTCTAAGGCTGTCATCAGAGTTCAAGAGATGTCATTCTTGATTTGGGTAATGACAGGGATGAGAACTCCAAGTCTGGGGTAAATGGAGCACCAGGTCACCAGGTCTACATGAAATACAGCTGAAAAATGTACAGGTAATAATAACAGCTGGCAGAGGGAGGCATAATGCTGTTGTTGACAAAAGGGCAAGCTATGGCAAATTGAGTCATTATGAAAAGCCAAACCTTAGTGTTATTCTGAAAAAAATTGTTAGAATCCATTTCAGAATATTCAGCTTGGATTCAGAGCAAAACATATTGCTTAAAATATTGATGTTAAAATGTTCACATACTTCCTCACATCACTTAAAAGTCGAGGGAATCTCATGTCATCCTGTTGAAAGGTGAAGGCAATAGAGATGCTGAACAAGGGGACCAGTAGCTCGTTGTCCAGTTTAGAAATCTCAAACAGCTTACTAGAGTAGTGGTAGTTATCTCCTTTGTGTTGTGCCTCACCTTGAACCCTTTTTTCTGGATAGATGCGTTGGCTTCACAGTGTTTGTTGGATGGAAAGGGCTAAGTAATGAATTTGAGTGGACAATACCAATTTGCACATTTCCAAGGGCCCAGGAGAGACTGAGGAGCCATTATGCAAGGTGCTGTATAAACACGTAGCCAATACTTACAGTCTGAGTAAATAAAACAGTAGCAGAAAAGTTCAGTGACACACAATGACCCCGTAAGAAGCAGCAGCAATCTGGAGTCAGCCCAGCTGCTCTGACTTCTAGTCCATTGCCTTTTCCACTGGATACTGCCATACTGACATCTTGGATCATGCAAAAAGTATTGGATGATATATACCAAATGGGAGATTTATCATGGTTATCTCTATAAAGTTTGGCATCAGAAGGAATTAAAAAACAGACATCAAATTATAGACGCGTAGCTGTATCCGGAATATATCTGTTTAACGCAGTAATGTATAACTGCTTGATTATGGACAATGAAATCCTCATGCTGCTACTTATCTCCACCTGTCTCAAAATACATTAAGATCAGTCCCTAGATTTATTTCTTGCTCTCGGTCTCAGGTGTAGCAATTAAAGAAATGTTCTGTATTGCTGAGAGCACCAGATGTGTGCAGTGGAGCATCCTATACTGACAAACATTTTGCGTTTAATAGTTCCTTTGGGTACACATTGGCGTCTGGTTTTATTTTTCTGTTTATACTTTATTTTTCTGTTTTATGGACCTGTTTCCTTGATAGGGTTTTTGAGTTTCTTGCCTCGGAGGATGGTTTGGGGTAGCATGGATTATGGCACGGCAGCGATGAGAGCTGTCTTCTGTTTCTGTTTGCAGTTTTTAAGGTCGTTCTAAGTTCTTTGTTTGGATCCTCCCATATGAAATAAGAGCAGTGCAAAATGCCAACTGATTCTGGAACGTGCGTTGTGGATCATGTTGCTGTTTTCCTGGACCTTCCTGATGTCTTCTTAATGTCTCTCTTCTTCTCCTGGACCTGGAACCAGACTTAGATCCCTTCAGGAGCAAGTTGGAGGAGGGTTTTTGGTCACAATAGGCACAAAGCTTCCTTCACCCACACTCTGGAGGTGGTGGGCAGCTAGAAGGTGGCAGGTGATTTTTCTCTTAAGGTTGTGTTTCAGATTTTCTCCTCCAGTCTAACTTTTAGCTCATTCTTTACTGCCAAGCAGAACAAGATGCTGGGTTGCGAATCTGTGAGTCAAATGATGAAAGGCTGGAGCACAGCAGCAGGCCTATTCTAATGATTTAGAGAAATCTGATCTATTTCTCTCTGGGGTATTTTGTACCACATTGAGAATGCCATGCTGGATACGACTAGCTGAGAAGAGAGAAGAGCCACAAACTATGTTTGTTCTTGTAAGTAGAGTAGAAAATCTTTCCTGACCTCTGCAAGTGTTTATCTTACTTCCTAAAGGGTAGAATTTGACTATTTTGGCTACAGTATGAGCACTTTCACATGTTGTTTGGTGTGGTGGATGCTATTTCTCTAAATAATACAGGCTGTGAAAAAACAGATCTTCACACGCTTATTATTTATGAGGACTGTCAAGTGTATCATGATACCATGACCGTAGAATTCTGACACGGGAACTCCTTATCTTGCAAAAACCTCATTTATTTATTTTTTCAAACAACGGTTCAGGTAAAACTATGATGGGCAAAAGATTAAAGCTTTGTCAGATAAAAAGCAATGCTGTACTATTTCAACTATCTTAGTTTTCAAAAGAGAAAGAAATATGTGGTAACTCACGCAGACAACATAAATATTGAATAACCATTGCAATGGATTGTATTAATAGATATACAAGTTGAATAAAAACACATTTGATTTAGTCTTCTGCTGATGGTGCCAGTGGATTACAAGGACTAAAATGTCTAATTCAATGTTACCCATCAAACAGCTATAATTCACATCTTTCCTTTTTTTTTTTTTTTTTTTTGCTTTTTTTTTTTTTGCTGTTAATAAAGCCCAGGATTGAAATCAACTTAAATTGTTTTGAACAAAACGGTTAAAAACATTATAAAGAGATTAAACAAGCAGACTGAATTCTTAGAAACATCTAAAGATTAAAGCTTTGTCAGATAAAAAGCAATGCTGTACTATTTCAACTATCTTAGTTTTCAAAAGAGAAAGAAATATGTGGTAACTCACGCAGACAACATAAATATTGAATAACCATTGCAATGGATTGTATTAATAGATATACAAGTTGAATAAAAACACATTTGATTTAGTCTTCTGCTGATGGTGCCAGTGGATTACAAGGACTAAAATGTCTAATTCAATGTTACCCATCAAACAGCTATAATTCACATCTTTCCTTTTTTTTTTTTTTTTTCTCCTCCCAGAAAAACAAAACAGTCATCACAAATAACTGCCCTTACATCATTTTGTTTCTCTGGGGACTGATCCTGATGCTACCCATCCAATTTTCATGAATATTCCCTTTGATTAAGGTAAGAAAGTTTTTCACATCTAAAATCATTTGGGGATTTGGAGCCATGATGCGTCAAATTAATCCTTGACATCACTCAACTACCTGTGCATCTGCTTGGCCTGATACCATATGACACAACCTGGGCATAAATTTGTTATGAGAACTCTCGAAGCACAAATAGGAGCCAGGCTCCCGCTGACTGTCAGTTGAGATCAGGTCCCATGCTGCCCTCTTTCCTTCTGTCTTGTAGGGATGAGCATTTTGAGGGTGGAGGTTAAAAGGGTTCATGTCTATGAAGGACTGTTTCCTAGGAGATAGCTCAAAATAAAGTAATTTATTTGAGAGATATGCATGTTAAAATATTCCATGGAGTTTTCATCTTTTACGAAGACTCCTATTACCAGTTGGCTGACTATAGATCAGGAGTCCAATGTTGCAGGGGGCCATTTCCCTCTTCACTGTGTGGCAAAAGCTTTGTGTGGTCACATGACCAAAGGGTCAGATGACCCTTATGCTGCCAGTCAGCTGAGGAGAGCTGCAGAGGCCCCCTGGGTCCCTGGCTCTTGGTGGCCCATGGCTTCTTGGTGCCGACCCCTTACAGTAATATCTCTTCAACATCTTGTTTGAGGACAAGTGAGACTGATGTTAGTAGGAGGTTTTCTCCTTCCTCTCACCATGGATCTAAGGTGGTGCAGTGTGCTTCAGGGCCCAAAATCTTGAGGACACAATTTGATATCCCCCTGTGCGTTTGAGAAATGATAAACCATACCCTCTGTTTTGATTAGCCTTCCCCCATCTCCAGTGGCTTTTCAGATCACATCTACTGAAAGAATTACCCATGGGTTGGCATTAGGGGTGCGCCTCTAGGAAATATATTAGCTGAATGAATGTGCAAATTCAGAAATACCTTTCCCACCTTTTTGTTGCCCTTGTTAGGGAAAAATGCTCTGCTTCAAACTCCAGATAACTGATTACCTGCCAGTTCTGAAGCTGTGCTCTGAATTAATCTGCTCCGAAAGCCAACAGAGATGACTTATGTTTGGGCACCTCACGGGAAAGCAGGGAGATGAAAAGCCTTAGGAAAACTTTGACAAACAACTTGGAGTGTTTGACCAACTATGCACAGCTGCTGCTGAATGAAGCATGCAAGTAACGTGCCAAACAGAGACAAGAGGTGATCAATAGGGAAGGCAGCTTTTGTATCTGCACTGAGCCTTTTGTCTTCAGGAAAGGAGAGGAAATATGCTGAATTACCTGTAGGAGGTGTGCCTGCTTTTGCTAATAAGTGTACCCGGTTTATGCATTAATTCCTAACTGGTCAGATCCTGTACCGACGTACACCAGAATCCCTCCGAGGTCAGCAGAGATACACCCGCGCACAGCACCTTAATTTGATTGATTTCATCCCACCCGTTTAAACATGCCTTACAGACTTGTTTGCAGAGCTAAACTGAAATATCTCTGCCCCTCCAGTTCCTGATTTCAGGCGATGATGTCTCCTCATAAATCCTGGATACGATAGCACCAGCGTGACCCATCACTTCATTACATCAATGTGCAAAGCTGTGTATTGTACTGAGGAGGAGTTTATCTGGTCAGAATGGATCCAGTCCAGGAACAAATAAAGGAGTTAGGAATCTGATTATTTCTGGGCCAATTCCTTATGAATTACAGCTTCTCAATTTTCCTGCTGTCAGCTAGTTTTCCTTCTCTTCGTCTTCCCTCCCCACACAGGAGGTAAAGTATCCAGCTAGCATAGGCATCTTGATTAGCTCCACCATCTAGCTGATTTCTTAACAATATTGTTGTCAGGAGAGCTGACCTGAATTTCGGATCAGGTTGGGATGAAGCCTGCCATATTCAGTGTCATTTGAGCACTGGCTGTTTCAGTGTGTGCCAAACTTGTTTCAAAACCAGGGATGCACCTCACTGCCAGCTTCCAGGGGAGAGTGGTGGTTCCTCGGGCAGCCCTGGCTGGCCCTGGCTCCTCCTGTGCTGTCTGGGAGGGGCAGCCTAATTTCCTTAGCTTTGTGCAAATGAGCAATCCCCATACAGAGGCAATTTTCTGATGGCCAGATACAGTGGGCTTTTGTATAGCATTTTTCACTGTCTGCATGAAGGGATTAAAGGAAGATGATATGTTAGGCTCTAGGCTGCTTTGCACTGGTTCAGATGTGACTGGTAGGGAGAAAGAACTATTTTTTCCATTTTAATTAAATTTTTCAAACTTTTTTATTATTACTTTGCAATGACTTCAAAGATAGCACAAGGCCAAGAAAGAACAGCTAGCTTGTTTAGTCTGATGCAGTATATATCTGTTGTTTATTTCTTCTAGGCATTACGTTTTCCATGTATTTACTTAATGGTTTATATTTGACTAATGCACATCTTTCAGAAAGACATTCAAACTTGATTCAATGATTGTTGGAATTTCCTATGTTTTCCGAAACACTAAAAATTACATTAGTGTGTCAAGAGCCTCCCATTGCAAAATTCTTCTATGATTCTCCTATGCAAGTTTTGCAGACCTGATGACTTTAGCAGACATAACTCTTGCAGGAACTCACTAAGGTTTTAAAGTACTTGATGGGTCTTGAATGTATAGAGCATCTCTCCAAATACAGGACGGAGATGTTTATTGATCCCTTTTGTCTGTTCTGTACATTTGTCATTTCCAGGTAGGCTGGCGCTTGTATAGAGGAATTGTAAACTATAGAGGTTTTCAGCAGAAAAGGAGTTGTTTCTAAGGGGAGGGAACTCATGGGTGTATGAGCTGCAGCGCAGTGAGAGCTCTTCAGTTACTGCTTCTGGCACCTCTCTTTATGCCTGTTTTGAAATTTAGAATAAGCTAAAATTTTATTCCACAGAAACGTTTTTTTATGTGATTTTTATTTTTTTTTTCTTTCATTTTTCATTTGTTTGGGAAGTTCTTCTGCAGGGCCTTGTAGAAATGCGAGCTGGATGTTTTGTCCTGCTCCCTCCCAGCTGTGTGCCTGCCTGGTCCCAGAGCTCCCAGACCTTTATGATGCACATATTCCTCTGCTGCAAACTCAGAACTGGTGAAAAGCTAACTTGTTTGTTTAATTTAGTTTTGAACTCTTATCCTACTGGGGAATTAATCCTTTTCCAGGAGCATATGACATTTACTAATATCAGTAAGCACTGGTAACTTGAGTACCAAGTGGCACCTCCAGCATCATTTTCAGAACTTCAATGCAGAAAATAAAACAAATGTCTCTTGTTACAGAAAACTGTTTGAAAATTAGTGTAGTGCTGCAAGCTCTGGGGGCTGACTAGAACATTAAGGACATCTAATGTGAACCCTCAGTGAAGGTTGGATTCTGGAGGTCCCTTGCCTGAGCTCTGTTACACCACAGATTTTTTGTCCATTGAACAGTATGGTCCATTGAAACAGAACTAGTGCCAAATGTTGAGAATAGTGTGTGGAAAAATTAGTACCCGGGTCTAAAGCCCATATTAAGATGTTGTGGTGCCACTGCCCAGAGAAGGAGGTGTGTACACCCCAGTCCTACCCTCCTGACAGCCTCCCTGAGTAGTCAGTGTTGATGTTCTGCTCCTACTGCTGCTGTCAGGGATGGGAACAACCAAAACAAGTCATTGTGGTATGAAACTATGCTCTGGAGTCATGCTGGGTAATTGAGTAGGAAAGTTCTCTTACTTATCCAGCAGTCATATTAACCTAGCTAATAAATTTCTTACCAGGTAGAGGCTGAGAGAGAGTTTAGAATAAGTATGTGGATTAATAAAGAACATTGTGATTTTAGAGCTGTGCCTTTTCTGTCACATTGTCTGAGAATAATGGCGTGTTGGGAATAGAGCTCTTTGCCAGGCTGGTATAAATAACCACAAGGGAAAGTTCTCTATCAGATGCAACTGGTACGAATCATACTTTATCATGCAACAAATACACGAGCTTCTCCAATCCTCCTTTCTGTTGGCAAAACAAACGGTGTCCTGTGCACAGTCTCTCCTGCTAAACTCAAGCTGTGGCAGAAGGAATCCCATGCAGTAGCAAAATGTTTCTCTGGTGGAGTTGATATGTCAGATTAGGACAGGCTCAGTTCTCAGCTAAGGGTGGAAGGAAAATCCTCTGCTCAAAAAAAATCTAGAGTGTTTCATTTCTGTTTCCTTCTAAAATAGATGTGAATTAATCCATTCAGGTTCTTGTCCTTTTGTCAGTTGTTCCTCAGCGATGAGAACCCTGCGTGTATTTTTACAACCCACATCCAGGCATCTTTTAATTTTTAATTTAGTATTTTTCTCTTCTTAAAATTAAGCTTGAAGACATGTATTCTGGAATGATGACAGACTAAATTTGTTACATATGCCTAAAATAAAATTCTATTTTCCTATTAATAAACCCTTACATATAAATAGCAGTTGAGTATATATTCACTGCCAAAATTCTGAAGAATGTCAAATCACTAAATGGGAGAAATTACTGGCTAGACACCTGGAATTGGAGCTTTTTGAGTAATAAACTAGATTTTGACAGCTGTTGCCTTTTTTGCAGGTGCAAAAAGAACATGTTCTTCTTTTTATTTTATTTGCTTTACATCACTTAATGACTAGAATATTCCAAGTTGGGAAAACAACTGGGAGTGCAAAGAATGGGAAAATTTGTTTATCCTCTCCCATCCTATGAGTAAAAGTTGTGTGTGGGAGTCTGACATCAACTAGTTCTGATCTTGGAAAATGTGGAAGCAAGGAAAAAATAACTCAGTTTGCAAACATTATCAGCAATTAACACTGCTAGATACACCAACTACCTTGAAATGTAATGCATATTTTGATAATATTTCCTAAAATATGCAGGACACAACATGGTTCTTTTTAAACAGTTATGTTCTTCTGGATATTTTTGTTCAGAAGCAGCATGGCACAAAACACACATTAAAAAGTTAATCAGGTGACTAAAAATGCCATGTCCTGTTTTCTCACAAGTCAAATGTAAAAATCAAACACCAAAAAAATGCTGAGTTATGTAGTGATGTAAGTACGATTTTAATCTATTCTCTCAGTGTTGGGGTTTAACCCCAGCCAGCAATTAGGACCATGCAGCCTCTTGCTCACTCCTCTTTCCCCACCCTGGAAGGGTAGGGAGAAGAGGGAGAAAAGGAGGGGAAAGAGACACCTCCACTCCCCAAAAAACCCACAAATCACCTTGTGGGCTGAGATAAAGACAGTTTAAAAAAGAATAACAGAAAAGGAAAAAAATAATATTGGTAATAAAAATAATGATGATGCTAGAAAAACATACAAGACCAAAATCACTCTCACTGCCTGGTGCTTTGTTGCCCAACCCGACCCAAGCAGAGATCATGGGTTTCCGTGCCCCAACCAACCACCATTTATATACCAAGCATGACGTCTATGGTATGGAATATTCCATTGGACTTTATTGCTCTGTCTATGCTCCTTTTCAGCTTCTATAGGAAGCTGGAAAAAGTTCTTGACTAGTATAAACATCATTTAGCAACAACTAAAATAATATGCATTAATGACATGCCTTTCATACCAAATCTGAAAACACAGCAACCACTGGAAAGAAAATTAACTCTATGCCAGCTGAAACCAGGACACTTAGTTAACAAAAAACAAATATTAAATACAACGTCAAAGCTACTTTTTCTTGCAATTAAACATTTCTATGACTTGTCAGTTTCTGAGAATAACTCTTTTTTTTATTAATATCTGTTAGAATACAACTGCAAGGCAAATTGAGTTACTTAAATTGTGATTTCCTGGTCCTGATTTAAAACACAATTAAAAAAAACTGATTTAAATCAAAGTGATATAAATTGGTCTGTCCTGCTTTAAAACTAATTAAGGATGTGCCTTGAAAGCATGCTTATATCAGTGCTCTGACCCAGTGGGTTCTCAGTATCACTCAAGTCTTAATAAATCACAGCAAGGGATAGAATTTGTATTTAATGCAACAGTCTCAGTCTCTGAATTTAAGGCCACTGAAGAACAGATTAACATTTATAATTGCCGGGTTGATAAGTAATGCAAATTAAAAATGGGGAATTCAAAACAAATTAACCTTTGCAGCACATCATGCGGAGACAGACAGACAAAGAAATCATTGAAAAGGTTCCCCTTGTCCTTGAAGTGATTTGCCACAAATCAGTGTGTCCTCCATGGTGCTTTACTGCTCTGCAGCAAGCAGCCTCTGGAGTTTAAATGTCCAAAAAATAAATTGTGATAACTGAAAGAACAACATGGACACTTTGAGCCTGGCAAGTCGCTTCATGGGCTATCATTGGTTTGCGTCTCTCCAGGCAGACTTGTATATTTTGGGACTAAGATTAGGATGTTTAGGCTAGGGCCAAATGGGTTTATAATTAGATATGTGCAGGCTCTGACCTATTAATTGAGGCTCGTGCTTCCCCACATCTACCTTCCACATTTAACAAGACTGTGCTTTAAAGCAGTCAAAGGAAAAAGAATACTGTGTCCTTACACAGTTTTCTGCTTCAAATCTGCCAGTCCCACCCTTTGCTGAGAACTTTTTACTTCTCAGGCTTGTCCCAAAAGCTGTCCCTCTTTGGGATACCACATAGAACAGGGCAGCGTGTCAATATGGTCTGTGTCATATGTATTTGTAAAATTAAGAGCTAGATCCCATCTGGAGAAAACAGCCTTATGTGATCAGTGCCTATGCATGTGCTGTGCTCTCCTTGGACAGAAAAAGGGTCATAAATGAAGAAGACAGAGTGTATTTTGATGACACCATATAAAAATCCAAGAAGGTCCAAGACTGTTCCTTCCATTCACCAGGAATTGACAGAGACAGGAGATACTGTCAAATGCAAGAAAATGCTGCTATTCATGTGGGATTGGAATGTTTTTAGTGGCTGGGTGGGGGTAACGTTGACCTTGTTTGCTGTGTTGGAGTTGGTACATGGTTTATCTCATGGGGCTACTCGGGCAGTTTAGGGGAGGGGAGTCAGAGTATAGTTTAGATAAAAGATCAGCTTTGGGAGTTGGAGATAGAGGATTAAGTCCTCTTTTTCTGATGGTGTGTTGGGAAACTCTAAGAAGAGATGTAATCTTCAGTCTTTGGTTTACAAGACCAATGTCTTGGACAAGCATGGAGGGAACAGGAAGAATAAACAGCTTTGGTCTCTTCTCTTGCAGGTATGTCCACTCCTGGAGAGTTCTTGTCAATCAATGTAGCTGATGAGGTCTACAAGTTCAGCATGTGGTGTTGTCCCAAGGAACAGAAGACAAGGTAATTGCGCTTTCAGTGTAAGCATATATGATGTGTTTTGCTGAGGTGGTATATAGATTTCCAGAAAATCATTGTTTTCACATCTACAATCATCTGCCCAAAATTTCAGTTCCTATGGGCTTTAGTACCTTCAGTGTGCATCGCTGGTGGTGGAAGCTGAAGGTGGAAGAAATATTCCCTATTCTCATAGTTCAACTGTGCATCCCTGCAGTCCTTACAAGAACTGAGTAGTTAGAAGCTAATTGAGGAGTATGTGACCCATCACTCTGACTCTGTGGAAAATATTAGATTATGCAAATACTTATGCACATCCTTTCTGTAACAGTAGGGCTATTGTATAACTTCTTTTTTTCCTATGAGTGAACTGACATGTTGGGAAACTGGTAGTGTTATCTCCTGATCCAGAAGGATATGAATGGGGAGCCAACAGTGGTATTAAAAGCTTCCTCTGAACAGAATACATTTTTTAAAAAAAAACACCAACTTTTTTTTCCCCTAAGTTTCTAAACAGAACTAAAACTAAAGCAAGTTAAACAGACTGGAATAAACACAGAACTGTGTCAAGTATCATCATCGCTGCTCACAGCAAGTGGATGGTATTTTGGTTAATGGGAAAGCAAAGCCAGGGAGGATCTTTAAAGCTGTCTAAACTTGAGCAGTGGAAATGCAAAATGTTTTTCTATCTGGTAGAGCACAGAGGAACAGCTTAGCTCCTGATGCTATGGCACAGGGTGCTGGTGGCACTAGTAGAGCCTTGGCAGTCAGCCCTGTGGTGCGTGCAGGGGCACAGCATCGGGCGTAGGAGGTGGGGACAGAGGTCTCCTTCCTGCTAGGACCGCGCCAGCCACTTCCAGCTGAGATGCTCTTGGCTTCTGTCATCCCAAGGACGGCAAAAAGGGGGTGATAGGTGAGGAAAAGCTGATGTGGCTGGTATTGATAAGGCTCCTGAACAGTCAGCCAAATTGCTGGAATATTTTTCAGACATTTTGGCAGACAATACAGGATTGCAGTCCGGAAGAAAAAGATACCTGTCTGTCTGTCTTGTTCAGTACGTGTTTCCAGCTGCTGGTAGTGGTATTGGCAATAGGAGCTGGTTAATAGCTGGAAAGTTATTGCTTTTTAATATATGCAAAGATTGCACAACTTCCATAGACGTTCATACCCTGATTTGCACGCCTTGTCTTTTCTTGCCTAAAATAAACTGCAGTTTGTTCAAGAATCTCTCCCTTTCGCCATGCTATATTATTACTAGCTGAATAATTTTATCTTCCTTTTTTTCTTGCACACCCTAAGGGGAATGAAGTATTGCACATGGATTTTTTCCAAGATCAAAACTCTAGTATGGTTAGCTTTTCTGGTCCATTTTATTATTTATACAGATGTACTGGCAAAAAAAAATTTATTGCAATATTTGTTGGCCTGAATTTGGGGTTATTTATAATGTGGTTAGATGGCTATTTATTAGACATGTCACAGTAGCTATTTAGCACTTCTATAGCTGTCTAGCTGGGATTATGACATTAAACAGTATTTATTGAATATAATCCAGAAAATGTTACAGGGAAAGTAACTTCTGAGAGAGAAAGAAGCAACCATCAGAGTAATGGAGGGACAAAGGACAAAAATGTCGTTTTAAACAGCAATTCTTGTCTGGGCTGAGGGAGGGGAATATTTAGGATGTGAGGAAGTCCAGGTGCAGATTTTAAGTTCTCTAAAGTGCACCAGCACTCTGCCTAACAGCTGACCTTTCCCTCATGAAATGGACATTTTTCATTTAGAAAAGGAAATGAGAATCATCTTCTTTGATTTTTTGCACTGATTAAGTAGAGTTAAAAAGTTCTATGGGACCATTTTTTGTAGGAAGCAATTTCATAAAAATCAAGCATTTCACAGGCAGGTGTTACTTTGACATTTTTAATGTTTTGTGTTAAGGTGGTATTGACTATTTTATTTCTTTCTGATGAATTTAAATGACAACATTTTTTCCATATCAGTGTTTTTATAATTTTGTATTTAGCTCTCTGTTTCACTATTGTGTCATCATGGTGGTTTTTTGCACCATCAGGATGAAAAGCTTTAGTTTCTCTTAACATCTGTGAGTTTTAGTTCTTTTTTTTTTTAAATTTAAATTCAAATGAGAAAATAAATGCACATGTTGAATTTCCTATGAATAAATCTGAATAAGGCTTGCCTGCAGAGAAGAAGAGACTGTAAGGGCAAAAATTTCTCAAATGCATTATGAATTTCCTTTAAAAAAAAGATTTCCTGTAATCTTCAGAAAATGCAGATTCTTAAGGAAAACAAATCCCCTGTTTTCTTATGCAGGCATAGGCCGTCTTAAAATATTTCACCAAAAAAAAAGTCAGTCTCATTACTTCTGTTTAACAGATAGACCCATTTCTGTGGGAGGATGTGGAGGAGAGAGGAAATGAGGCCACTGGAAGGTTTTGCAGGTGTGAGATGAAGCTGAGCGGCCGTCGGTTTCCATTTCTCATGAAGGTGCAGCGGGGGAAGGACGGAGTGTGGGGTGAAAGGAATTGCCCTCCTTTTTCTTATGCCTCCTTTTTGCATTTTGTCGTGGCAAGAGTGCATTTGCAGACAGCCTCACTGCTGTATGGAAGTGTCAGATCCCATCCCAGCTTTTCCCTTTCTGGCCTAATTTAAGTTGTCCAACCCAAGCTCTACGGGATTACCTTCCTGGCACCTGCATAGTTAGCTCATTGTGGGACATGGGTTTTCTGTACAGACAGCAGCCATTGTGGACCAATAAATACATCTTTATCCTTTGCTTTTTGCAGATGGAAGGGCTGAAATACTCCAGTCTTTAGATATTAGATCCTTGAATGGCGTAGGATGAGATGTTGAGTAATGCAGAGGCAGGAGGGCATGGGGGAAAATTATCTGTTCAGATCATACATGGACTGGGAAGAGTTTTAATGATGATTTTTGTATTTTAAAAATAGTGCGGCTGCCAACTAAGTTTGCTGGTGAGAAATTACAGTAGGTAGTTCCAGCTGACTATATATTTTCCTAAATTCATTGGCTGCCCATAGAGGGTTAAAGAGTATATAACTAAAAATAATTATATAGGAATTACGGAGCTCAGAGTCTGTTACTCTTCTCGCACAAACTTTGACAGAGACAAATTAGAGAGGATTATTAGCATATTCCACTTTTTCAACAAATCTTACAGGAAGGAAAAACATAATAATGCAAAGGAGCTGAGGATTCATGTTTCCATAATAGCTGTATCTGCACTATCTTACCTGCGAAATTTATTCTCTGTGGGTGGTGAGGCTGTTGAATATTTTTGATTTCTTAGCCATTCTGTTTTTCCCCTGTAAGCAGCTCTTTTGAGTACGGATATTAACCTGCAGTTCTCTCTTAGCTAAAACTTTCTTTGGCCGCGTTACACCTGGGCAAGGACTCTTACAGGGAGCAAAGAGCAGCATGCAGAAGTGATCAGAAATACACTCACAAAAATGCATTTTTATCTGAGCTCATTCATTCTAATTGTTCTCTTGAGGCTTGATCTGGAGCACAGAGAAATCCAAGAGGGTCTCACCGGGCTGCGGGTCAGGTTTTCAGGTCACCTGTACATGGCAAGTGGTGAATAATGAGCATCACGTTGCACGGTGCCAGCTGCTCAGGCCTTACCCTGATGATGGAGGTAAGAATCCAGCCAATGATTTCACTAAGTGCAGTCTCAGGGCTGGAGGAGAGCATCGCCTCGCACTCCTTCTGCAGTAAAAGGCAATCACAGACCTTAATGATCAGCAAACTGGTCTGTCCCAGTAATGCGGTTGACCATGCCCTGATTAACTGGTGCAAACTGTGCCCCAGAACATTTTCCCTGTAGAGTTAGCTCTTTTATGGATGGCCGTAGTTGTTAGAGTCACTGCTGAGATCTGATACGATTACAAATATACTTCCATATGTAATTATGAGCACTGACTGTGATGGCTGATTTGTCCATCTCACTTCTATAAACAGGCTGGGATTAATACATGCATTTTGCAAATGTAACTACATATATTGAAAACTGTTTAGGGTGGACTTTATTTCTTCTCCTTTTTTTTTCTTTAACAGAATCCTTTGAGCTGGTTCATCAAGTAGGCATTTGCAGACAGAAATGTCCTTCCCTTTAGTCCAGATTAGGCATTTGGGTGAGAAGTGGGATTTGGAGATCCTGGCCCACCTTTTTGTGCAACTATGTGCAAACCGCTTTGTGCTGTGGCTCTTTGTTGTCCTACCAAGCTTTGCCCTGGTCTTCTAGATTTGAAACCTGTGGGAGGTGGTTGTCTTCTTTTGTCTTTTTTACAGGCACCAGCATGTTGGGATCCAAGACCAGGGGTTCTGGACATCACCACAATAATCACAATAAGGGTTTGGGAGCCTGTTGGTCACTTGTTTTCACAGTGACTGAAACAGTTCTTTGGTGAACTGCCAACTTTTAGCACTTAACATCTTCATCTCCATGGGTACCCCTTCCTGGTGTCCCATTGGCTTCCATAAATTGAATTCTACCAGTGTCACAAGGATCTGGAAACAGATGTGCAATTAGCAAGCATAAATCAGATTGCTCCATGGCAGAAAAATAAATGTTCAAGCCTGGAAACAGAAGAGTTAATATATAACTAATTTCTCTTACCTACTTTCCAAAGACACCATCCTTCCTATATAAATTCTGCTGTCATTAATCTAATCAAGCTCTACTTTGTTCATAATTTACTACACCCTTCAATAAGCATTGTAATATTTGTGCAGGGCAAGTATATAAATCATTGTTGTCTTTCTCTACTTTTGTACTTATCTGGTTCTTTCAAGGTCACTAACATACCTCATAGCTTTCATCTGGTTTAAATATTCCGCTATTACCTTTTACACCTCGCTTCCTAGTTCATGCCCATTTAGAGATCTGCAGCTGCATCTTCTCAAATAGCTATTGATCCATGTCTCCTTGCTAAAGGTTACTAACTTCATCAGCAGTAATGATACAAATTACATCTGTTAGGGTTCACTTGCACCTTTTTGCTGTTTAGAAAGGGGGGACTGTTTTCTGATTTTGTTGTTATTGACTGTTTTCTCTGCCTAGGATATCCAAAACATAGAGAGAAAAATTATCTTCAGTAAAATATCTTCATTTTGACATGTAGACTTTCAGCACCCAGGTCATTCAGAGAGGCCAATCAATCCCTACTGACCTCCAAGAGCTTGAACTGTCACTGGATAAGGCCCCAATCCAGCAAAGCACTTAAGGATATCCTTATGTAAACATATGATCAGTCCCATTTTCAGTGCGATTTGGCGAGAAGTGCATTTTGGGGTAGAGCATCTCAGGGGATGCTGCCTCTTGCAAGGGCTGTGCATGACCAGGCTGTACTGGTTGAAAATGCAAGCTCAGTCCACGGTGTCTGGTATTCTTGCACTGGGCAAAGCACCTCTCTTCGGGTGTATTGCTTGTGGGGACATCCCTGTGCTTTACAGGAGGCTGTTGAGGTGCCCCTGATTTAGAGTCATAGTGTTCATTTATGAGTGTGAGCCCCTGTCCTCCTCAGAGGTGGTGAGCTCTTAGGATGCTTGAGTTTCTTTTGCTGGCTGTTTTAGAGACAATGAAATGATTTAGGAGTGGGCAGAGTAATCACCTGGCTCCTGCAGGACCCAAGAGCTGTGCTCATCGTGTGGCAACTGGAGAGATCATCCTAGCTTCTGGCTTCACCAGTTCCTTGAGCCAAGTGTGTTACTGCCATGGGATTGCCACCCTACACCAAAAAAATCAGGTGAGGCAGAGCCCTGCCATAGCTGGCTGCCACAGAGTGAGGCTGGAATGGTTATTGCCGTGGTATAGAAGGAACTAAGGCTAGAAGGGACCTGAGGAGGTCTTCTTATCCACCCCCATGCAGACCACTCCTGACACATGTTTGTCTAATGTGTTTCTTTAACCCCGCCAGCAGCGGAGATCCCCCAGCCTCCCTGGGCGACCTCCTCCAGTGCCTAATGACCCTTGCAGCGGGGAAGTTTTTCTAGTGCTGAACTTAACTCTCCCTTGCCGCCTTTAAACCCATTACTTTTTGTGCTCTCCCCATGGATATGGATAACAATTTATTGCCTTCCTCTTTGCACAAGCCTTTTACATCGTTGAAGACTGTTATCGTGTCTTCCCTACTCTAGACTAAATAGCCCAGATAGGATGAAAGCTGGAATGGGGTGTCAGGGAGAAGGAGTTTGAGGAGGAAATCACAGAGGGATTAATTCTGCTTCCTGTCCCTATAGAAATGGACTTTTTTCTTCTGAAGGATGGGGTCTGTGGGAGGGTGAGACGTGCTTCTCTGTGCTGGTGATTCACTAACACAGCTCCGTGAGCTGTGCACCTGATTGATGGGTTGCTGCCTCACAGCCTGAGGAAGAGGGGCTTGGGCTGGCCCTCTGCTGAGCTGCAGGACTCCCGTTCAGCCTGTGAGCTTGGGAAATAAGGCTTTAATTTCTTGTATTGGTGAGGAGCGTATCCAACTCACATATGAACTCCTGAGGGATGTATCTGGGTGACCTTCTGTGTATCATGAAAGCTGTTTCTAGGTGCTGCGTGTGTTATACAGTCAGGTAAAAAGATGGTATAAGGCCATCACCTTGCTGCAGCGTCCAGGCAGCCCACCACGACTCCTGCCAGGGAGCAGGAGCACTCTCCTCTGATGGCAGAATGAGGTTTCTGTTGGGAGCAGTGCCTTCACCACAGCCCTGTGCTTCCCACCCATGCGCGGGATGGAAAGCCACTCGCCACACACGCTGCCTACATGTGTTTCACAACTTGATTGCTGCTCGTAAAACCAACACGTGGAACAGGGAAACGCCATCTGATCCAACAAGCCCCGGGGCGTATTATGTCAATGTCACATACATTAAGAAAGTACAGCAAGCACTCAGAGTGACTTTTTGTGTTTGTAGCCCTTTTCCATTATTCACGTCTGCTGTCAGAGCTGTAGCACGTAGGCAGCTGTTGCATTGTGGCTGTCATAACCTGGAGGAAACAAAAACAGCTTCCAGTTTGGAGATTTCCAAAAGTACAAGGTGGGGGATAACACAGAGGAAAAATGGTTCTTTACTACTTGAGGGTCCCAAACAGATTTCAGTGACGCTTTTTGCTTTGGTCTAAGCACTCCAAGAATAGCACATAAAGTGGAGCTGTTTTCCCTAGACTCCTGGTGACATGGAATCATAGGTTTAGTTACATCAGATAAAGGGCTGGCCTTGAAGAAAACAAAATACTAGAGGCTGCTTTGGACAGCAGGGAAGTCCTTTGCATTGCAAGTGTGTTGCAGAGTAGCTCCAGCACACCCAGCCCCTCTCCAGGTCCCCGTCACTCAGATGTTAAGACTTTTCAGTTCAATTTCACAGTAAAAAAATCTTGATAAATTGCAATCCAATTTTTTTTTTTTTTTTTTTTTTTTTTTAGCTCTCCTTTCCCCTTGTTCCTCCCCAGAGTGACTTTGAAGATGACATTTGTATATCTGAATTAAAACCACATTTGGCCGGTGCTGAGAAGGGAGGAGGCAGGGGCAGAAGAGAGAGAAATCTTTTTGTTCTCTTCCTTGTCGTCCCCCCTCACCTGCCAGGGCCAAGCTCCAAAATAATTCCAAACAGCTGAGGTTAGCCAGGGACATCTAATCCCGGAAAGCTGGCTCTGAATTCCAGCACCAGCACATGGCATTTGAATTTCAACAACCATTCACGTGTAATTCCTCCAGACCTCTGAAGAAGTGTGAGTATATGCACAGGTATGGGCTTATTTATATAAAAAGAAAAAAAAACAAATTCATAAATTGTAACCCAAAAGATATAATGATAACTGTGGCAACATTCTTGTTTTTTAAAGCTAAGCAAGCTCAGGAACTGTTTTAAGGATGTACTGGGGTCTTTTGAGTGTACCCTAAACCACCGTGACTATAGGATGTCCAAGAATTGTGATTCTCAACCAAAGGGAAGGCTGAGTCCTCTTTCCCTGATTTCCTGTAATGGAAAAAGACTGCTCTGTGCAAGTGGAGCTTAAAGGATCTTGCTGAGACCTTTCCTGTTTGTTTACAGAAGGGGTACAAGGAGCATCCTGGCAACACAACGGAGAGAAACCTCTCAGGGCAGAGCTACACCGATATGGGAGGATGTGGCAGCAACAGGATCACCCTGAGGGAAACACATCTTTCCAGACATGGAAAGCAAAGGGGACACGTTGGGTAAAATTGCAACTTTTTTTCTTCTTTGGAGCCAGTCAGCAGGGGTAACACTATTTTTCTCAGGGGAGTTTTAATTTTTTCAATGAGAATTCCTCAGTTGTCCCTAAGTGTTCATGACCCAAAGATAAAACTCCCACCGGTTCTATTGTGCCCCTTCCCAGCAAGAAAATTTCCAACATCTTTAGTTTTGGTGGTGTTTTCTTTAAGACCATACACTTTTTATTAAGAAAAAGCTTTGGTTTTGTTCTTTAGCCAATTGAAATGAGTAATGAAAATGTTATTTGTTTGGGACAAAGGAAATATTTTCTTTTAAATTATCTCATCTTACTAATTGATTACAACGGGACTGCTTGGATGTGTGCAGTGTACAGCATCCGGTCCCTCTGCTCAGAGCAGGGCTGCAGCCAAGCTGGTATAAACCATCCCAGGGGAGAAAGCAAGAGTAAAAGCTCTCCCATGGAGCCAGATTAGCCTCCATGAGGAAATAATTTGGGTGTTTGAAAGGAATATGACCTAAAAATATTAGAAGTTTCTGTGGAAGATTAAATACTTGAGAATATTGATAATTAAAACCATTGTCTAGAAATAATAATAGAAAATAAATGTCTAGGGAAAAAATCTTCCAGGAATAGGTATTTTCTGTTGTTCAATGCATCCATCACTGGTAGCCTGCTAGTGTGGAAAGTACTTGTTATTGATGAAAAGTAATAATATAAATCCACAGTAAGTCTGAATTTAAATCAGAAAGGGAAACAATTAATATAAAGGATTACAGTATTACAGCACAATTTCCCTGAGATGCAAAAACATTTCGTATTTGAAAGTGACTTGAATGTAACACTCTTCAAATATTCATGGCGGAAAATGTTTCTTAAGTGCTGTTTCCAAAAGAGGTGTCATGAGACAGCAACTATGTCCTGAGCTGATTTTAAAACCATGGCAAATAATGTTGTTTCACATAAACACAGGAGAAAATGTGCCATCAACAGAAATGAAATGGGGAGGGGGAAATTGTCCAGGTCTTTGTGTCAAGGATGGAGAAAAAGAGAGAGAAAAGGCTTAAACAGGAAAGCCAGGACAGCCAACTTGGAGAAGCAATGTCATTCCCAGCTCACCAACCCATCCGTGCGGTTGGCGTGGTTATGATTTATTCCCCCTGGGCTCCAGCAGCAGCTCTTACTGCTGCTTATTGCCAAGAAGTAGGTCAGAAACCTATTTTTGTCTCTGTTGTTCTGTGGCCACATTGCTCTCCCTACCCCTGTGTGGGGATGAGAAAGTCTCTGAACGGAGGCTGTGAGGTGCTGGGCTGAGCAGGGTGGCCTGTCCCCACCTCCCTCTGGAGCCAGTGGCAAGAGAGAAAAATGACATCTCCAGCAGCAGGGATTGCCCCTGGGGTTGCCCATCTCCCTCTGCTTGCTGGAGAGGGATTTTAAGGAAATTAAGGACTAAGTCGGTGGTTGAATACCTCAGTTTAACAGGATGACTCGGAGCCAAAGCATGTGTAATGTGCCAGTCCCATCCAGCAAGCCTGCATCCAAGCAGAGCAGATGGTTTTGATGTTAGCTCCGGTGGCCTGGGTTAGAGAGTGGCCTTGCAGACATTCGTGCTGGTGTGGCTGAGGTGGGGACGAACGGGGACATGAGGCAGAAGCAGGGATCTGGGGATGAAGCAGAAGGAAATTGTGTTGTGACTTCACGTTCAGTTCTCGGGGCTGAGAGCTGCCTGTTTGTCCTGCTGTCCCCCAGGGCTAGTGATTTTATCAGCTCTGCTTGCTAACATCCTTCTTTCCTCCCCAGGTACCAGCTACCCTTTATTTCCCTTTTGCCCTCTTAAATTGCCCAATTGATTAACATAATTCAGTTACATTCAGCAATTGTTTTCAATATATTCTTAGTTTTTGAAGTTAGCCAGAAGACATGCCAGGAAGCTGCTCTAATTTTCCTACTTTTTATTATGTGGAAATTTAAAAAAAAACTATTATAAATTAACCTGAAGATACTATCTCTCCTTATGGAGTTACCTCATTTGTATCTCTTTGTCATGAGTGCCAAAATCTCTTCTTGCTCACCCTTCTCCTGTGAATGCAAAGGAAAGTCTGGCTGTGATGGTGGTTTTGCCATCCTGGAGCCCTACGACCTTTGGAGGACAAGTGATCCATCTCCCCGTGGGAGACTGCTTTTTTGCTACTGGTCAAGAAAATACTGCCCCCAAGTAAATAGTTTTAAAAGTGGCAAACCCAGCCCAACCTCAGGGCATGGCACTGTCCTAAAACTCAGCTTTGCCATTTGTCACCATGGAGGTGAGTTGCAGGAGATGCCAAGCAAGAACATTAATAGTAATGTGGACCTCTAATTACTTTTCCCTAAAATATCTGCAGGGTTCACTCAAATGCTGCGCTACTTTGGCTGGGGGAATTGCCATCTTTGTGACAAGAAAACAAACTGCAAAGCGGTTGCCTCATCATTCCGTTTCTAGCAGGTCTTGAGTCCAGCTTTTCAGAGCAATTTTTCCCTTTTCACAGCGCATCTGTCAAGATTCCCGCTCTGGAAAAGAAGATCAGAGCAAATGGGGACTGAGGAGAACAAAAGCTGACCCAAACCTTTGACCTAAACTTAACATAAAGCCAAATGAAACCTTAGAGGTTTGTAAATGTTCATGAAACATTTCCACCTCCTGCTCCCCTCTCCTTTATCTTCAGTTTCTTTATACTTCTACGCTTACTGTTTCTAATTGAAAGTCTAATGTAAAGCCCCACTAAATTAATGGAAAGACACTCACCGATTTTAGCGGCTTTTGATTCAGCCTCCCAAAGAAAGGAAATAATTTCTTTAAATGAAAGTGTCTTTGAACCTAAGAGAAAACAAAACCTGAAAAGAGATAAGGAAAACCAGAGGTTGAATGAACTTTTCCTGCTAACGTTCTTGATCTGAACCATGTCTATAACATTGATATGGATATTGTTAACACAGAAAAAAATAATCACTGCACAGAAACAGAGAATTGATGAGGTAACAGTGAACTGATTTAATAAGCTGTAATAATCTCTGCTTGCAACAACTAGAAAGTTTGCCATTCTTTACAGTCTGCTTGAGCTGTAGAGCAATACCCCTGGTAATTAGTTGGTGTTTATGACCTGAAGCTGCATTTGTAGGTGTGAGATCGAGTCTTTCCCTTTGTACCAAACTGCAACAAAAATGTCAATCACATGAAAACTTTATTAGGCAAATAACTCTCTGCTACTGATACCATTTTCAACTTTCTAGGGGACTTTTGTCAGATGGTGGTAGAAATGTGATAGTTTATTATAGAGTTTAATAATACCTGAGGTTCCCTGAACGATGTATTAGATGGTCAGAATAAGAGTGTTCCTGTCTGAGTTATACTCTGCATTCATGGATGAGGGACTTGAGGAAGTTGGTGAAACGAGCTCAAGCAGAAATTAAGACCTGGCTTGTCTTGGACGGCTGTCGTTACGCTGTCACTTGGCAGTGATGGTTCTGATGGATTGGCGTCACCACTTAAGAGCTTGGTCTCCTCCAAAGTACTGACCTGCCTTGAGCTCCTCTTTTGCACGTTGAGTGTTTTGTGTGTGCAGACTGGTATGGCTGCATATTTTACTTGTGAATACATGCACAGCTTATCTAGAGAATTATTTCCCAATATTTGTGTAACAGACAGTTTTGATTTTCACAGTCACTGGGTAGACACACACAGAACAGCGTGTGCTCCAGAGGCTGTTACTCAGTCTTAATGGAAAACACAGATGTGGGAAATGGTCCTAGGAAGATGCTGCTAATAAACAGCTACTGCTCATTCATAACGTTGCTGTAAATGTGCATTATTTTATTATTGTCAATTATATGCAAATTTAACACAGCATATTTTTTTTTATAATTCTTTTCTTTTTCTTTCTGTCTTCCCTTTGTCTTTTTTCCCCTCTCTCCTACTATATTTTGTGCTTCTGATCTCCTCCAAAATCCTCTCCAGTGTCAAGTCTGGACTGCCTGGTCTCTGTCAGCAATGTGCTTGCTGTCTCTCTCCAAGTGCCTGACAGCAGTGATGGCACCACCTTGCCAGGAGATCATGCAGTGGACACGCTGAAAGCCTTGCTGCTTTTCAGACCATCTGCTGGGTGACTTTGTCTTTGGAAGCTTGGCTAGTTCTAAGCATGCACTCAACATTGCTCAACTCCTAAAAGGAAATGAGGATCTTGAGCCAAAGGTGCTGGCTGAGGTCTGTGGACCATCCAGTGCAGAGTAGCAGTGGTGGGGAGAATCTTCCGGACAGAGAGATCAGGGACAGAAGATAAATCCTATTTGTTTTTTTCAGCCCAAGTTAGAAGAGGAAAACTCTGTGTTGGCCCAGTGACAATTTAGTTTGACTGTCAAAACTTAGAAATCTTGTCTTCTTCTCCCCACTCATCTTGGATCCACTTTTTCATTGGCTGCAATGGCTCCACTGTTGTGTTTTTTTATAAATGTTTGATCTATCTGTTTCTAGAAATCATATAGGGCATGAATTACTGGAAATGAAGCAAAATGTACCAGACACAAACTCAGCTCATTCTCTGTAGCTCATATTCTCTGAAGGCTCATTTGTCCCTTTCCTCCTTTTAAATATTTCCTCTCTTCTTTCTGGCCTGATCTTTTTATTTGTTTCATCGGCCATTTGTTATCCAACTCTTGGCAAAATATCAGGGAAATCTTCTTGAGAGTCAACTGGGAAGAGCTTTCTTAAGGGAACAACGACAGCTTCTTTACTTGGGAGAGCTGAAAACGAGACAAGCCCAAATATTGTTTTGCTGAGGCAAAGTTTGTGAGGACTGTAATGTGCTTTGTTGGACTCGTTTGTGTACCTGATGAAGCTTCTCCAGTTGGGCTTTTCTTTGGTTTTTAAAGGGTTTCAGGTGTCCTTTCTCCCTGTAAAACTTGCCTCACTGCTGTGACAGTGGTCAAGTAGGTAGTAAAAGAGGGCCAGACTGACCTGCTGTCTGATGGGAGCTGAGTTCCACATGTGGCTCCATGGAGGTGGTGGGTTTTCTCATCCAGGGGTGGAGATGCCTTTCTGGCTACATGCAGCCCAGACACTCATTAAAATGAGAGAACTCCGTGCTTTCATCTCTCCTGAGCCCACAGCTTCCTCAGCCCAGACGAGATGGGCTTAGGCCCGGTCTGGGCCTCCATAAACTTTTCACTTTTGCAGTTTCACCAATGGTTTGACTTTGCTCTGGGATTATCCTGACATTCAGGTGCTTCGGGGCTGTTGGGTTCCTTTCCCTCTCCTCTCCAGCTGAAAGTTTATAGCTGAGCGGCGCAAGCGTGTCCTGACTGCGGAGCAAACTCCAGAAGAGGAAGCTCCAGCTGCAGCTCACAGCCTGCCAGAGAGACTCCCCTGGCAGGTCTCCGACAAGCCTGTTACTACAAGTTCGCCCAATTCTGGCAAATGTGAAAATTCGCATGAAGTTCATATTAGTTCAACATTAGCTCATGTTGCCAGCAATTCAGTAGCTCCTTCTAACTGCTTGAATCTCAGTTGGAAGATTTAAGCATGCTTGCCATCCAGCCTCTCTGAGATCGTCTTGAAGGTGGGCAAGCATTTAGTTTTCATTTAATATCGTGGTGCAAGTGAGTTTTATAATATTTTCTGAGAGGATTGAAGATTTTAAGTCCTAATACATAGTTGTCATCTCTGCAGGGTGTAATAGCATCTAGATTAACTTCCAAAACAGCCTAGGACATAGAAAAAGTAGGTTTATATACCAATTTTCATTTCCACTCGCTGATTCAGTGAGATCTTCTGCCAATTGCATAAAACCAAACGTATATAAAGGCTTTTTTTTAAAATAGTTTCTACTGCTCTGACTATATTAAAACGCAGCTTGTTCAAAAGCACTTTCTCCTCCTAAAGCACTCTGTGCATTATAGCCTCTGTAATACCTTCAGCCACTACAGAGATCTTGCAGAGCTGAGGATGTTCACGCTCAATAGATTTTGTATTTTGTGCCTTACATTTGTCAGAACAGTCTTTTTGCTCAGAAAAAAAAAACAACAAACAATGTTGGTTAAATTTTGGAGAAGAGTTTGCTGAAAAATTTCTAATTTTATTTCTTTTTTGTAGTCTGGAAATTAAGTAAAAAATCAGTGGGTGTTTAATGAATGGTATTATGCAAATATTATAGCAACATAACTGACATTTTCCCTCATTTCCTGACTTATTATAGGAAACAATAATTGATTATTGTCTCACTCCTTGCGTTGGATGAATCCTGTGTTCTCTGAGTGAAGGCTAATGAGCCAGCCTCCATCCTTGACAAGATCTGGAGCAAGGCAGTGGCTTCCACAGCTCCCCACAAATTTCTGCAGTGCAAAAGGTAGGACCATATCCAATGACCAGGTCTGGTACCTCTTCATACGCTGGCTCGAGAGGTACCCCCAGGTGTTGGAGCCAGGACCACTTCCATCGTGCTGGAAAGGGCTTGGCAAAGAGGAAGTAAAACTGCTCCCTGGTGCCACTCAGAACAGACAGTGGCTTTGAAGGGACATCCATGGGAAGGGACATCTGTGGGAAGGGGTGGCTCCTGGAATGGGAGGCATGTCCGCAGTGGGAGGCAGCACTCACGGGGTTCCCAGCTCTCACCATTGAGCATTGTTCAGAACAAACGTAGATGGTGTAGATGAATGTAAAGCTTAATTTGTGGTTTTGACACCCACCACATTTCTTGGAGTTGACATTTTCTGGAACTTTAGGGCTTTTTATCTCCAAGCTGTTGTTTCAGTTGGTTTTTTTTCTTGTTCATTTTATAGAAAGCTTAACAGCCTGTGTTTTTTCATCTACATAATAAAATAGCATGCAATCAAATTGACCCAAGCCAATTGCTTTAGCCAAAGCAGCTGTCTAATGCTGTCCTCTGCTCAAAGGTGACAAACCTGGAGGGCAGTGAGGACATGTGTTCAGTTGGTATAACATGGTACAGCTGCATCACGATATTGCCTGGGTGAATGCTGAGAAATCTGGAGGAATTCCCTGGGGAAATGTGGAGTGGGGAAAAAAAATGCTCATTTCACCCACTGTTTCACTTTGTCCCCGACAGTGGGAACAAAGTGACTTTATTTTTCAGAAATGCCTTGGACCAGCTGTGACTGAACAGCACACAGGCTGTTGCTTGTTCCTGATAGTATCCAAAATGTTCAGGGCACTTTCCAGCTGGAAGAAAGTTACAGCTAAAGAGACACAGAAGAGAGAGGGAAGAGATTTGAGGCAGCAGGTATTTAGTGTAAGAGCAATCTCATTCATTCTAAAACTTCAGCCCTTTATAACTTAAAAGGAAAAAATACTTTTCTGCTCTCTCTTGCTCCTCCCACTCTGCATTAAGATTTGTACAAGGCTTTGATGTCATGCATGTAGTGGTGACCTCAGGAAATCAGATTTATATTTTCTCTGAGGATGGAAAAAAGATGGGACAGACACCCTTTCTCTGTGACTTTCGATCAAAACAGAATAGTTATGTATTATAATTTATTGCCAAGTGGCTGCAATGCAGATCATTGGGCCCCCTTGTCAGGCATGGGATGACAGGTGTGGAGAGATGCCAGGAATATTGTCACCTCCTGTTCTACCATCATTAGGTGTGTGGCTTTAGCAGACATCGTGAGCCAAAACCCTGAAAGGTCTCTTCAAACCCCACTTCACCCTGACCTACCATCATGCTTTTCTCAAAGCTGTCCCTTTGTCCTTTACCAGCCAAAATGTGGATTTTGGCACGCGAAGCAACAAAATCAGACAGAGCCAACTAGAAAAAACTGGTAGTAGCCCCAGGCAGGCGTTGATGGATATTCCCCATTGGCTGAAAGTTTCTAGTCTAGTTTCAAGGACACTCTAATTTTCAAATCCTTTCTCTATTGGACATGTCCATGTGAAGTCAGGTAGCAGAGATAAAGGCTGGCACAAGAATATATGCCTAGCTGCCTGATTTCTATTGTATACCATAATTATAGTGGCATACACTTTGGACTGACAGCATTTTTTAGCAACAGAGTACTTCAGAAATATTAATCTCTCAACAGCTATTTGTGTTGAATATTGCCTTATGTTGGTTTTTTTTCTTGTTCATTTTATAGAAAGCTTAACAGCCTGTGTTTTTTCATCTACATAATAAAATAGCATGCAATCAAATTGACCCAAGCCAATTGCTTTAGCCAAAGCAGCTGTCTAATGCTGTCCTCTGCTCAAAGGTGACAAACCTGGAGGGCAGTGAGGACATGTGTTCAGTTGGTATAACATGGTACAGCTGCATCACGATATTGCCTGGGTGAATGCTGAGAAATCTGGAGGAATTCCCTGGGGAAATGTGGAGTGGGGAAAAAAAATGCTCATTTCACCCACTGTTTCACTTTGTCCCCAACAGTGGGAACAAAGTGACTTTATTTTTCAGAAATGCCTTGGACCAGCTGTGACTGAACAGCACACAGGCTGTTGCTTGTTCCTGATGTTCAGGGCACTTTCCAGCTGGAAGAAAGTTACAGCTAAAGAGACACAGAAGAGAGAGGGAAGAGATTTGAGGCAGCAGGTATTTAGTGTAAGAGCAATCTCATTCATTCTAAAACTTCAGCCCTTTATAACTTAAAAGGAAAAAATACTTTTCTGCTCTCTCTTGCTCCTCCCACTCTGCATTAAGATTTGTACAAGGCTTTGATGTCATGCATGTAGTGGTGACCTCAGGAAATCAGATTTATATTTTCTCTGAGGATGGAAAAAAGATGGGACAGACACCCTTTCTCTGTGACTTTCGATCAAAACAGAATAGTTATGTATTATAATTTATTGCCAAGTGGCTGCAATGCAGATCATTGGGCCCCCTTGTCAGGCATGGGATGACAGGTGTGGAGAGATGCCAGGAATATTGTCACCTCCTGTTCTACCATCATTAGGTGTGTGGCTTTAGCAGACATTGTGAGCCAAAACCCTGAAAGGTCTCTTCAAACCCCACTTCACCCTGACCTACCATCATGCTTTTCTCAAAGCTGTCCCTTTGTCCTTTACCAGCCAAAATGTGGATTTTGGCACGCGAAGCAACAAAATCAGACAGAGCCAACTAGAAAAAACTGGTAGTAGCCCCAGGCAGGCGTTGATGGATATTCCCCATTGGCTGAAAGTTTCTAGTCTAGTTTCAAGGACACTCTAATTTTCAAATCCTTTCTCTATTGGACATGTCCATGTGAAGTCAGGTAGCAGAGATAAAGGCTGGCACAAGAATATATGCCTAGCTGCCTGATTTCTATTGTATACCATAATTATAGTGGCATACACTTTGGACTGACAGCATTTTTTAGCAACAGAGTACTTCAGAAATATTAATCTCTCAACAGCTATTTGTGTTGAATATTGCCTTATTCAGCAGGTGAGGCAAACCACTATTATCCTACTTTTCTAGCAAAACAGGGAGAGAAGGAGAGATTAAATGACTCACCTAAGGTCAAGCAATATGTCCAAGAGAAAACCTGGTTAAGCTTGGAGATTAGTGCCTCCCAGTAATCAAGAAGTGTGTGTAATATTTCTGAAAAACTAATGTATGTGCACTTATGATAAATGACAAATGATAATAGCTTAGTACCCATTCACTAGTGCAAGGGATATTTTCATTGCATGGTATTGCAAAAGCCAGCAGGACATGGTGCTTACAGACAGCAGTGACCAGACCCCACAAAATGTCACCATGTTCCTACGTGTGCAAGTCCCGTGAACTTCAGTTTCTTAAAACAGAGCCGGATCTTCAGCAGGGGATAAATACAAGTCTAGAGTTGTGATTAGCTTGTGATTTCGCAAAAATGGCCAAAGTTTCAATTTTTTTAACATGTTCTCCTTGCTATTGGCCATTTGCCATTCCATTAACTGAAAGGGATTAATACTGATGAGGCTCTTTCCCAAAAATGGGGAGAGGCTAAATGATCAGGGGAACAGAAGTTGTATGTCCGTGAGACCTGTTCAACAAGTCTCGAGGTAACAGCATCTCTGAAATTGAACACTGATGGTATAGTAATTTTAGGAAACTAATTATTCCTTAGACAGTTGAGCAAATTTCAGAACAAAAAAAGTTTACATTGAAAAAATTGTTAATAATAGGGCTAATGTATTTATACATGAGGGAAAGGAGAAGCCAGGCCTTTTGTTCCTGGACTTTCTTCTCTTACGTTGCATTATGAATACCATTGAAGGAAGGAACCTCTGCAGAATATGTCTAATTGCTAACTACTAATGTTTCAACACAAATGAGCAGGGTCCCAGATTTTACTTGGCTTGGATGTTTAAAGGCAAATAATAAGTTATGTAGTAAAACAACAGAATCATTAAACATTGATTTATATGTTTATTTTTCTATAAGAAATGAAATTTTTATTGGAACGGAATTAAACAGAGTTTATGTGCTTGTATTCCCTATAGCCCTTTATACTCTAGTAGTATAACAATATTCATAAATCATACCAGAGTTTTCACATTTCCTCAGGAGTGACCTAGGCAAGAAACCCTTAACAACTTGCGGAGAGACTTTGAAATTAAATTCAGCTGTAATATCATCATGACTAATTTATGACTAGTTTGGTTGCTACAAAGATACATTTAAAGAAGCTGTAGTACATGATGGGGATAAGATAAAACATGGGTTTAGTATCATGTAGCTATTCCACTAGAAAGATTTATTCTATGTTTCATTACTTTATTGAACGTGGCAAACCAGTCTGTTCCTTGTGAGAGAGGAAACCTTAATTATATAATGAAACATGTAAATAGTAGGCCTTCAACCAAGCAAAACAGGGAAAACTCTAGGTATGAAATTAAATCTGTATATAGCTGTTGAAGGTCTCTGTTCCTTTGCTATCAGACACATTTGTGCGTGTGTGTGCTGCTGCATGCATGCACGTGTACTCTATATATACAGGTGTATGCACAAATATACACACGCTCATGCACACATAAAGTCTCAATTTTAGAACAGGCTTAACAGTGAAATATTGTTAAGGCTGAGACAGATGTTATCTGGCACAATTTGAACAATGTTTCTGCAATGCCCAGCATCCCTGGAGCCCTTTTTTGTCCCACTGGAGCTTTTGAACTTCCTGCAAGGCTCATTTTGCCCAATTGAGATTGATGAAAAATTTTGAAATTATTAAAGATATTTGTTTTTCCTTTAGTTTCTTTTACCACAGAATGAAAAGGATGAAAAATGATTCTTTTTTTCACGGTAATTAAATGTCTGACTTCTCAAATTTTATGCGGGCAGAAAACTTCCTCTGAACTCTGTGTGTGTTGGGACCCAGCTCATGAGTATCTTGCTTTATTCCACTCCATCATCATCATCACCTCTTGTTGGAGATGTGGGTTTTCATTCTGTCCTTGCTGGTTAAGACCAGTGAGTCACTTCAGGCAGGTGTTAAGCTAAAATATTTCTTGGTGAATGTCTTTTTATGCCACCTGTCTCCAGATAAGTGGCTTCCTATTGCTGTTGAACCTTCTAGGATATCAAGTTTCTGTAGGTGACCTTTTCCAGGACTTCTTGCCCTTACTGACCTCTTTTCCATCTACACCCAAAGGGCTGACCCACAACTCAAGCACCGTGGGGCCAAGCTTCCCAAGACCATCTTCTTCGCAGCCGCTCTGTGTGGTGACATCTTGGCATCGTACATGGAGAAGCGGTTTACAAGAGCCCCTAGGACTGACCAGAGATCTCCACCATGCCCCAGTCATCCTCCTGTCACACTGCTGATTCAACCAATGCCCTCCCAATCCTGCCCATAGAGCAACTACAGGGGACATGTGATGCCACGGCAAGTACCCAGCCAGCAGCAGCGTGAACCGATGCGCTCGCTATTTAATATGCAGAGGAAATGAGTCGCAACTAAGTTCATTGCACACATCCATTACGTGAGAGAAGCATCAATATTTCTGTAAATCCACCAGGGAATTTATTCATCTCAGCCTCCAGCAATGGTGGATTCCCCTGGTGACTAGTGCAATTCGGAAGCGCGTACAGCCATAATGAGAAAGTACCGTGGTTTCCCTTAAAGTAATATAGTGGTTATTGCTGATAGTTACTGCCTTTGTGAAGTATTAATGCGTGGTTATAGTGCAGTCATGTAGCAAAATTATAGGGGCCTGTGGAATGTTACTTAGCAACACTTGCTAATGTTGAGGTGGTAATGAAGAAATGGAGTAAAAGAAATACAGAGTATATTGGAGTCATAAAATAAACCATGGTGTGGCTTCAGAAAGCAGTTCTGAAGGTAAAGGTTTTGTCTATTTCTCTTTTTGCCATGTGAATCTGGCAGAAGAACTTAAGAGCTGATCTGAAGCAACACATTTGAAACATCTAAGTAACAGAAACAAGCATTATGTTTTTGTTTGTTTGTTTGTTTGTTTGTTTATAATTGTTGCTGCCTGGGAAAAGCATCGGAATTGCTGGGTGTTTGAAGATCCTTTCCCTGTCATTTCAAACCCACCCCGAAGCACTAGCTGGCCAATTAAAATAATCTCTCCTTTGGAAAGCCAGCATTTGTCAGAGTTAAGAATGAAGGCTTCTTTCTACTACATCTATTTTCCCCATTCATTCATTTACATAACTCCCTCCACCGTTAATCAAGTGCTTGGAGGCATATCTCAAGAAAGGGTAAGGCCATAAAAATAAAGGCAGGCATTTCTAGTTATAGATGAACCTTCCACATGTTGCAGATCTGTCTCAGCCAGTTATCTTGGTTTATCTCCACCTGTTTAAATTGGAAAACACACAAAAATCCATCTCCCATGAGATTTCCAAGGTTTCTTGATTTCATTTGGGTCAGAACTGCCACAAGAGATGCATTTCTCAGAGCACTTCTGAGCTGCTGCCAGGAACAGGGAGTGCTGGACTGTGCCACTTAAAAAAAAAAAAAAAAAAGTTTTCTTTGAAAAGTCACCAAATTTTATAAGCTTTAAAAAAAAAGAAAATTGGCCTAGTTCAGTCTCGGCTATGATTAAAAGAGCTGCCCTGATTTATTGGTGTCAAACAAAGTATGTTTGGGTAGAACATTATTTTGTAATGGAAAAAGTATCAGTGGAAGCACTGCTTGGACTGGATAAGGACTGGGCCTTAAATTATAAGATTCTTTAATACTGGAGAAAAGGAGGACTGCTGAAAATGTTGTAACTAGAAGGCCATCTCTTAGTCTACCAGATAAAGGTAGCTGTGAATTCAACCTTAACAACATTTGGGGTTCTGCTGATTAAATGGTGATATTTGCCGCCTTTGTGCCTCACCCTGGCCCTGCAAAGCAAACGGGAAGGAGTTTCTCATTCCTGTCCCACCAGGAGTGTTGAGCCATGAATATGGAGTGATGGTTTGGGGGATGTTTCACAGGAAAAGCTTTCTGTATACATGGATTCAATAAAAAAATAATATTCTCCCGTTGGTAACAGAGTTGCTTCCTGCTGTCCTTTAATTTCACACTTTTTCTTTTTTCCTAGTAAATGACAAAGTAATTTTATTTTAACTAAGTTCTTGTTCTTACACAGTGCCTTACCCCAAGAAATGTTCTACCAGAGCACTGCCACCTGGATGTGTCTACCAGGGACTACCCAGAGACAAATGGAAAGTGAAGAGCAAGTGAGTGGCGATGCAGGGGAGCCAAGCCTGCTGTTAATAAACCAGTTTGTTTCAGCACGTATTTGTCAACCAAAGCAAAAAAGTAATCCTCCTTCTGAAGCATTTTCAATAGGAGGATCCCTGTGCAAGGGAGGACCTTACTAAGTCAGCTATTCATGCCCTTCCTGAAACCACTGTGGTCCTCTTTCCCCAAAACACACAACTGAGGTGACTTTTGGCTTTAAATCTGCTTTATGAGCCTTTGAGATGCCATTGAGACTTCAGCTGAGGCCCTTAACAGGACAAAATTAGTAGGAAATATTAATTTCATTTGGTGAACTTAGGATAAAAATGATATGGAAAAATCAACACTGATAGGAAAACTCTAACACGAAAAATTATACTGAAATTCTGAGAGTCCTCTGCACCTATATGCATTTCTTCTAGCAGATGTTCTGCCTGTCCTGCTTTCAGGCAACTACTCTTGGTCAAAATGCTCCAGATGTTAAAAAAAAAAAAGGTGGTCCTCATTTTGTAACTTCTAACAGTGTTTATTTTGGGTGAACAAAATTGTCTTCTGTCTTAAAATATTTAATGATTATTTGAAAGCAACTTGATGAATAGAAGAGTGTGTACTCCCACTTGGAGCAAATGTATTTTTGGAGTGATTTATAATTAATCTTTGTCTAAGTGGAATGCATTAATTTCTCCTACTGATGGTGACTGTACTCCTGTTTCTTCTCCTAAGTTAGATGGTTCTGCTCCAGAGGCATATTTGCTGATTAAATGGGACGCGATCGGGTACTCAGGTTATGTCACTATTATCCAAACGATCTTTTAAAGAACACAGAGTACTTGTTTTTGCAGATATCGTGCGCTCCACATTTAATCACAGACCTTTGTAGCTTGTTATTTCTAGAATTCAGATTACTGCAATTTAAAAGCCTCTGTCCTTGCCAGTGCTCAGTGACATAAACTAAGCCCACATATTATGAAAAAAAACCAACCAAAAACCAAACACGAAACTTGTCAAGTTGCACTGAGGGACTGAAAGAAAAAGAAAGCATGCTTTATGGTGATCTCCAAACACCATCTGCAGAACAGCTATAAAGGGAAATGTTATAATTTGTGAATATTTTCCATGTAGCCAGAACTTTATTTCTGAGCTGTGCTGTTACCCACGGCAGTACCCAGGTGGTGGCGGGTCCCCGGTGAGTGCGGGGTCCCGGGGTTCGGGTGGGTGACAGACACATGGTGAAGGAGGGTCCATACCCTGGAGAACGTACAGTGTCAATAGGCAGTGAGAGGAGGAAGGAGAACAAAGCAGAGGAAGCCAGTTCCTGCAGTCGCCTGCTGCTCCAGCCACCAAACCCTGGGTTTAACCTCAAGATTGCTTCTCCCAACCCCGCTGTGGGCTGCCCCACATCCCCGGGGTGGCTTGTGGCCAAGCCCCTATTGGGAAGCAGGCAGCCTGTTGCCATTTTTCTCCTGCTGCCTCCTCCTCCTCCTCCTCCTGGGCGCCAGGGACTGCGGTGGGGATGCAGACAGAGCCGGCGCAGCCTCTGCAGCCCTCGACGGACTGAAGTGCTCCAAGTTCCTTTTTTAGTAAAATCGCTTTGTCTCGAAAGTGCTGCGGAGCAGAGCTCTGCTCGCCCCCGCTGCCCCCCTCCTTGCGCTCGGCGCGGTGGAGATGCCAGGCTGACGTGCCAGAAATATTCCTTAGCCCCAGAGATGGAGCATCCTGGGGCTCCGTGGGCCATACCCCGGCCCAGCACCGGGTTTACCCAGAGCAGCCTGTCCTCCCTGCCCCACCAGGGCTCTCTCTGGTGAGGGCTGGTGGCAGCATTGCTCCTTTGTTCATTTTAAATGTGGCATCTAAGGAATGGACAGAAACCATCAGCTTTTTTTTTTTTTTTTTTTTTTTTTTTTGGCCTGGGATACCAAATAACTTGGATGCAGCTGTAAAACACGACACTCAGGGCAGGATTTCGCTGGCTGCAGAATGAAGAAATCTGCACAGTGTCATTAGTTTCTTCCATACCCGGTTTTGCCTTTCCCGTGCTGGTCCTGAGCAGCCCACGCTGCTGCTGGGGCATGGCCCGGGGGGGAGGAAGGAAAATGACACTAAGTGGTGATGGGAGCAAATACCACTGCCTGCTGTTGAGTTTGTGTGCCATTCCTGGTTCTGATCTCTTCCAATTTCCAAAAAAAGTCTTTAACCCTAAGTCTTTGTCAGTATTCCACCACGTAAACACATCATTTACTTGCCCAGATACCTGCTGCAGGACAGATGACAGCTTGAGGTGGGAGTGATTGGCATCAAGTCACCCTCAGTGGAGGCACAGAAGAAGCAAGGCAGTGAGCAGAGGGAGAATGAGGAGTGGGTGGGCAGGAGCAGTAATGGAGTCAGGGAGATGCTAATGAGCTGGTAATGAGGCTGATAAGAAAGGTGTGGAGATGAATGAAGAGAGCAGTATGCAGGATAGATAATTGGAGGCAAGGTGAGGAAGCTCACAAGGACATGAACAGTGACTATAAGGCAGAGGATGGAATTAGGGTGAAGAAGACAAGATTGGATAAGAGGTGAGGGCAGGACATTTTGGGGTTTCAGGTAAGAAGGGCTGGACTTGCATTCACAAGTTTAACGAACTGACTTGTTGCCTATTGGAGTGCTGTTTTCTCTAGTGAGTGGTGGGACTTCCATGCTCCTGGCTCAGTTCTGGCAAAGGGTTCCTGCCTCTCCCTAACCTTTTCAGGGACTGTCTGCATCTCCACCAACATATGGGGTGGATGCCTGTGAACTCACTGTCTGTGTGGCTGTGGGTGTGATTCTAAGTGTGCGAGAGTGTCTCTGGTTTGAGGAAATTATGTGCTGCACAATGATATGCTGTTGGTGAGATGATGGAGTGCTGCTGGGTATTGAGGCAGCCTTTTTCGTTTTTTGTTTTGTTTGTTTATTTATTTCAGTAAGTCTCCTGCCACCCTGGGTGGCTCTGCTCTAGTGCTAAATCCTGGGAAAGGATTTATCTGTCAGATTCCTCTTCCTACACGATGGGAGGCAAGTCTGGGACTTCAGGGCAAGGCAGGATAGCCCCGTGACTAAGGTCTCATGCATTTGAATGCCATCCTGATGAACTGGATTCAGTTTCCTCAGCCGAACTAAGCTCTTTCAAGATGACTACTTCTGTAGTTTTGGCCAAGGATTGATTTTTGCAGATGTTGCATATTCCCAGTTGCAACAGATATTCATGAGAGTTGAGTTTTGCATGCAGAGTGTAAAGGCTTCTGAGAACCAAGTTTTCTGGACAGTTTAGATGTCCCAAAATTAGGAAAAACTTTTTAACCTTCTTCTGATTATTTCTCACCCCTCCCTATTCTCACAACATGAGATTTAACTGCGGGAATACTTATGTTGCTTTTGGATGACCAGATAATGAGAAGTACAGAAAGCCCATGAGGCTATGAACAATTTTGTCTTATGTGCTCAAGTAACAGGCAGCAAGTAAGGCATGGTGCAATGCAATAAACAGCAAGTAGAAAACCAAACATGAAATCATTAAAATATACCTTCCACTCTGTGCAAATAAGGGGCAGAAAATTCTTAGGAAAATCTTTGGGAATTTAGCTGCTGTTGCTGAACTCCAGTTGGTGTAAAGATGGTGTTTATGTAAGTGAACTTTTACATAGATGAGATCCCTTTTCAGCCACTTTCCTGACACTGGATCATATTTATTCTGACACTAGGTGTTATGTTACACTGAATAAAACAGTCACTAACTGACAGAGTAACTTCTACTTGCCTTGAGGGATGGTGACATTACTGTATTAGAGGCTGAAGACGGCTGATCGGTTACTGCATCTCCGGACCCTGCTGGGAACCTGAACTGTTAACCTGAATGCTCATTTTTTATGTGTTTTCCACTGAAACAGTTTAAAAGCATCTCTGTTACTGTGAATTCTTGCTTATTTGTCATAAAGGGGGAAAAACACCAAACAGGAATTAACAAGAGGATTTTCTTTGTGACTTCAGTCCCTCATTAGGAGGTTTATGATCAGGCTTTGGGAAAGCTTTCCTTGAATTATTTTAAGGTTCTAATGATAAAAACCTCGGGGAGGTCATGCACATGGGGGATTTAATACCCATTCAGAACCATCTGGCATTAGATTACATGCAGGGAAAGAACAAAATCTGGCAGTAATATTCATCTCCATTAACCCAGAATACAGGCTGATATGATTATAGCAGAGAAAATACTCTCACTCTTTCACCAGGAAAAGCTCTTAATAGACCTGGGCTAAATTGGTTTATAAAACCAAAGACTTCTTGAAGTGTGGATCTGCCCTCTCATTGAATGCAATTGCTTTGGCATTTAATATGTATTTCATATCTTTTTAACCTTGACAACCAATATGTTAAGGTATAAAATATTGCTAGGGTGAAAGATTGTGTTTGCAGCTCCTAACTTACCCTGGGCGTGCAGTCTTGGTAGTGTAAGCATAATGCTGGCACAGAGCCCATTCATGCTTTGCTTCTGCCTCTTCTCAGGAGCATCGCTGAGATCGTGGTCCCAGTGACATCCTCAGCAAAGCTCCCACTGATGTCAGTGGTGAATGGGTAACCTTCCCCTAAACCATTCCACCAAGACCCCAAACCAGCTGCATGCTGAAGCGTGTGCTTGGCCTGAAGCACAGTGACTAATGAGGGTGTTTGGTGCAAACCCAGTTAAGAGAGTGAAGAACAATGGGAAGGTGGGCACCTCTCAGCCAAATTGACTTTCACCCTAACTTCT